GTCTATTATCCCAGGTGGCTCAATGGCTAAGGCACTAAGCTTGTCGAACAGAAAGGTCGGCGGTTCGAATCCCTAGCGCCACGTAACGGAGTGAGTTCCTGTTACTTGTCCCAGCTTCTGCCAACCTAGCAGTTCGAAAGCATGTGAAAAATGCAAGTAGAAAAATAGGGACCGCCTTTGGTGGGAAGGTAGCAGCGTTCCATGCACCTTTGGCGTTTAGTCATGCCAGTCACATGACCACGGAGACATCTTTGGACAGCGCTGTCTCTTCGGCTTTGAAACGGAGATGAGCACCGCCCCCTAGAGTCGGGAATGACTAGCATGTATGTGCAAGGGGGGAACCAACCTATTATCCCTAATGATGAGCATTATTCTCATCTAATGCAGCCTAGAACAGAGGTGGTGGAGGCTAAGTCAGCCGCCGATCTGAAAAACAGTAACCCTGTTTCTGCTCACCTATTGCAAACATCTGTGCCTCTTCCAGATGGCTTTCGGGGTGATCTCTACCTAACCATCAAGCTACTCTTGCCCGGAGTCATTAAAAGTGTTTACAACTTGAATGACAAGCAGATCGTGAAGCTCTTCAGTAGGATATTCAACTGCAGCCAGGAAGACATGGTCCGAGACCTTGAGAAGGTGAGCAAAAGGGAGTCAGATTTTTGGTGGCCAGTATCCCTCTACACAGCATGCCTCTTTCTCTTAAGAGTTTGAGCACTACAATTGACGGCCCAGAAATCAGTCACATGGCCAGATTCAAGTTTACAACCTTACAACCTTTTGCGTTTTTTTGCGACCATTTTTAAGCAAACCCAGTATTTCCTATGGGGCAGTTTTTGCCAGAAACCAGAAGAAAACATGGTTTTCTGCAAAACAGCAAATCAAGAACCTCCTATAAAGGTAATGGCGAATGTATGGCACGTGTGCCAGAGGTGGCATGCAGCGGCCTCTCGGTGGCCATATGCGCCATCGCCCCAATTCGGCTTCACTGTGCATGCACGCGTGCCCTCCACCAGCCAATTAGTCTTCAGGTCTCTGCCACATATACGCGGGGGTGGGGGGCAAGGCACATGTGGGGAGGCTGTGCGGGGCGTGGGAGGCCTGTGGGGAGGGCAGATGTGCATGCTGAAAGGGGAAGAGCCGTGCACGCATTGCATTTCGGGGGAGCGCATTTGTGTGCACATGTGCACCCTTTGAGTCCTCAGTCCAGAAAAGGTGAGCCATCACTAACCTATAAGTACAATTTACTGGCAATTTATGTAGGTGCTTTAGGGTTGCAGATCACAGGTTGAACTTCCCTACTGGTTTACACTTCAATGGCCTGATCTCAAAAGATTCCTGAGGCTTTCCAGATTGCAATTAATTTATTATTGCCATTTACAATTGCAAGCCAAACACGCCTCTGCCCTTAGCAGGGCTCTTTGTAGCTGTTCCCTTTTATATCTCACACCAGGGTGACGTTTCAGAAACGGTGCGGATCTTCTTTGAGCCAAGCAGGTCTTGCCCTCCTGCTGCCAAGAGCCTTTTGACAATCCAGGAAGTAGATGAGTTCCTGACGCAGCTATCCAAACTTTCCAAAGAGGAGGAGCAACAGAACCTACTGCAAGAAGTTGCATCAAGGTAGAAAAAGGAAATGTTTATGAATTTTGAACTGTGCGTAAGGGTCAGATTGGAACAGGTAGGCCTGATCAGGTGTCTGCTCAGCGATTGCTGAATACTGTCAAAGCCTAGCACTGGGATGGCAGACCTGTGGCACACGGAGCCCTCTCTGGGGGCATGTGAGCCGTCCCCCAGCTCAGCTCCACCATGCATGGGCAAGTGCATCCTGCCGGCCAGCTAATTTTCAGTTCTCTGCCACTCATGCGGGAAACACATGCACATGTGCAGGGCGGAGGGTCGGAGGGAAGTCGTCCCCCCTCACACTCTGTTTTTGATGTCAGGAAGGCCTCTGGAAGGGGAAGCCGTTTTTGCCCTCCTGAAGGCTGGATGAAAGCCTCCAGAGCTTGGGGAGGGCAAAAAACGGGACTCCCAGAAGTTCTGGAAGTTTGGAAACGGGTCTGTTTCCGGCCTCCAAGGGGGGACACTTTTTTTTACTGTTGGAAGTATACTCCTAGTGTTTGGTAGGCAATATAGATTCATATACAATACCAAATGGTCGATGTTGCTTTAAATGGGTGAATGTACTTATCAGCTGTAATTAACTTTACAATCTGCAATTAACTTTGCAATAAGAGGGAGTCAGGAAAGCTCACTCTCTCTCTCTCTGCTTGTCCTATGCTTGATAACTACTTGCTCGCTTGATGACTGGAACGT